TCTCTATCATAAAACGCTGTGAGTGGATCGCGGTTGTCTTTTCTTATTCCGGTGGCGACCTTGCCCTTCGATCGTTCGAAGCTGTCACTGACATGCAAGCAGATTTGAGTTTGTTGATTTTCCCGTCTTCAGTATATAGGGTGGTACAGTTAACATGAATGTCTTTGGCAAACAGTCTGATTTCCCTCTTCCAAAATGGTACGGACATGATATAAATTCAGCTGATCGATCAAGGAAACCGAACCATTTTGATTGCACAGACGGGACCCCGGCAGTGTGATGCGTGTGACTGTTGGTCCGATATTCAAAGCGCGGCGCTAATGTGACATTTCAAATTTTCTTATCGGTGTCCTGCGTACTAACAACATGGCGCTTGAATTACCATAAGTTGAAGACTTTCTTCCAAAAGGATCTTGAGCGTCGGTGCTGGTTTGTTTGCAAACAGAACAGCAGGCGCATGTTGTTAATGCGTATGCATAAACATGTCAACAATATCGCTCATATGTCAATATTCATGCGAAACCAGATTTTGCAACCGGTCTCAGTTTGGTCTGTCAACGAACGAAAGTTGTTATGTATTTACACTTAAATATATATTTAACGTGGGTAATAAATAAAATACCACTCGTGAACTTTCGTAAAAATGATATCTAACGAGAATGAGTGTAGTATTCTCTATTTACTTCTCCCTGTATTGTCACTGTTACATCATAGGCATTATGACGTCACAAATACTACTGTTGGCGTCGCCTAGGACTACAATGTAAGTTAAAGTTTTCATTACACCCGAAGAGCCGTTGAACGGCGAAAGATCTTAAGGGATAAAGGAGTTTTGAAAAGCACGAATAATTGGACTCTGTTTTTTGTATATTTAATACTTATACGCCTAAATTAGATAGAAACTTTATTCTCAACGTTTTATATTTCTCACATATATAAAGAACATGTACTTGTTATGCAGATGGCATGATGCATGGCGGCCACGTGTGTCTGTACGCATCTATACACTCACATGTTATTTGATGTTGTGCCAGCACAACTACACCGTTATGTTCTGAGACTTTCTCATTTCATGCGTGGATGCTGGGTCCGACGTTGCTGGTATTTGACTTGTACGCAACAACCCGATGTATTTCTATAGCTCTTCTAAGAGTCCTATATTTCTACCGCGTGTCATGGTTCACCCGGTCGGAGTGTGTGTGTGGTGAGATGTATTACTTGAGGTGATGACGTATGTTTTGTTGTTTTCCACACATTCATTTCTTGCAATAAAAAAATGTTCATTGATAACAAAGTTGTCGAAATGTATATTAATCGTTTGATATTCTGGGTTGTAGGTTTGAGTCAACTGTGTATGATGCCACTGACGTCAGTGCTAAACTCATAGCCGCCACCTTCTGGCGGACTTGCAGGGTGCGTCATTGGTTACGTGTTGCTTATTCGGCGGAATTTAGATTGTTTAGATAGATGATATTGTTACGAGCAAATGTATAATGAAAACATTATACTGAAACACACATTTTGAAACACACACTCTCACTCTCTGTCTGTCGGTCTCTCTCTCCCCTCTCTCTCTCCCCCCCTCTCTCTCTCCCTCACTCTCTCTCTCCCCTCTCTCTCTCTCTGTCTCCATGTCTCCCTCCCTCTCTCTCTCTCTCTCTCCCCCTCTCTCTCCCTCCCTCTAACACCCTCTCTCTCTCTCTCCATCTCCTCTCTCTCATTTCCTCTCTGTCTCCATGTCTCCCTCCCTCTCTCTCTCTCTCTCTCTCTCTCTGAACCCATATCTTGGGCTCCAACTCATGTTGTTTATGACAAAAGTCATCCACAGACACCATGAATAGATCATGTACTTGAAGATAGAATATGCATACGGAGACATGTCTTTTCGAAATGGATTCGAAATCGATTTTAGCCTTTGTGACGTTAATCAGAGGGACATAATGAAGTAGTAAATAGTGATTTTAAACTATTCCCAGTAATCCTTGTTGTATTGTTGTCCACTTGTAGGATGAAATCGTGGACTGATTCAATAACGTATGTAGTATATGTATGTGTCAGTTTATATAGGGAAAGTACGTCAAAATATTTCAGGTACAAAATGACCTAAGTGTTGCCTTATGGTCCTCATGATACACTAGGGCGGTCGGGTAGCCTAGTGGTTAAAGCGTTCGCTCGTCACGCCGAAGACCCGGGTTCGCCGTGATATTGCTGGATTATTGCTAAAAGCGGCGTAAAACCATACTCACTCACTCACTCATGATACACTGCGGCTTCGCCAATATCATATTGCCGCGGCTCATTTAGAAGGAATATGTATGTGACAATTCAGTATTTTGAAACGGTCCTGGCAAAATCGCACACCACACGAACAGAGAATGCCGGTGACACTGCATAATGTCCTATAATTCAATCTTGAGGCACTTTGGTATTGGGCGGAAAAAACTTTCAGGAAATATGCAACTGCCATCAAATCGTTATTTTCTGGACGTGTTGCTCTTGAATCCAATAATAGCATCTCCATCAGATGACAACTTGGTACAATACACTGCTGTAATCAACAAATGTGTCCGGTCTTTCCACACATGTGCTTCGTGATCCAATGTCTGTGTAAATCAATAACAGAGTAACTGTAAACGTAGCAGCTGTTAAACATAACGGTACTTTACCTACATATGTATACTTACACAAGAGCACACGCACCTGTTTGTATTGCGGCTATAACTTTTACTTTTCATGTATATATATACAAGACTCGTGATCTGTGAAAGTAAGTTTATGATGCACGTGCACGCTGAAGTTCATTGTGTTGTTACTATTTGACTTAATAAGAACGCATCAGCTTTGGGGCTACATTGGGGCATGAGTGCCCCAGTCGTCTAAGGCGCCGCGATTCGCTGTGCAGAGTTGCGTCCCTTGAGCACGCCAGAAACCTATGATCGTGGGTTCGAATCCCTGTTCGCCCCGTTTATGTTTCCAGGTTTGTCAGCACCATATCCTTGCTCGCGGGTTTCACCGAAGTGGTTAACGTCTGAGACCTGCATCACTTCGGGCTTTCCTCCCACATTAAGCTGATACGCCGCGATATAACTGGAATACTGTTAAAAGCGGCGTTAAACCCAACTCACTCACTATGACTACAGACGCTTCAACGAGTTTTGTCGTAGTTTAGTGATATGTTGCTGTTAATGTTTATACATGCAAAGGTAGTCCGTGCTCAAGTCACAATATGGCTGCAAAGGCGGAGGGACGAAGGTGCAAAGATGGCAAATAACCAGAATGCCTTCTACAGCGTTGTCTTGATTGTCTGGTTCATCGATCACTTGATTGTCTGGTTTGTTTAAAGACCGCCGTTTCACATGTGTCTGGCAATAAATACTTACTTTTTTATGCAAATTGTGTGAATGACGTGTGCTACCGGAAGGACAGGACATGCTTACCGTTTTCGCGAACACCTGGTGTCATCACTGATTTTCAGCGGTCCATTAATATAATTGTCACAGCAATGTTCCTATTTACGGCAAATGGACTCTGTTTCGGTTGATAATCTAGACTGGTTACATGGTCAAACCAATGCTGTGAAGAACCTTCCACGATCAGGACAGACACCTCTGACGTCACCGTGAGAAGACAGCCGTCCTGAAGCGGCCCTGGCTACTCAGTCCGTCAACCAGGACCGTGAGGAACGTCTTCAGAACAGCAGAAATGGCGCCCAGAAGAATCATCAAGCGCCCCCTATTGGCAAATCGGTATGAGAGGTGACGTTTGGCATGGTGTTTAGCAAGACGGATATGAGAACCTGGCGGAACATGTATTGGTCTGAAGGGAGAAGGCTCCCGCTCCATGTTACGGAAGGGCGAGTCAGGGTTTGGAGCACAGGAATAATGACACCCATGAACATCGGGCCAACTGGTCCTTATGGGGGAGGCTCGGTATTGATTTGGGTATGTATCTCACACAAAATTTTAATGCTGGCTGGACCTTGTCACCATACTTGTGTACCTAAGTACTCATGGACTGATGACGTCACCACAAATAGTGATGACGTCATGATGACATAGCAGAATAAAACATGGCTCCTGTAAGAAATCATCTGTATTAAAACCTAATCTGAAGCAATCCGCTCTCCATCATATATGTTACAGTAATCAGAACATACGACATGCCCTGAAACCAGTGGTTGTCCACCATTTTGACAGCCATCACTCACCACAAGACCACAGTTAGGGTGACAGCGCTAGGCCCCATTGTTCCCGGGCAGCGACAGCCTACCTTCAGAACATGCTGTGACGACTATCTATGCTTTTGCCCCCCGGGAGTCCAGGTCTGAATCCGCTGGAGCTAATTTGGTCTATGAGCCTCTTGTACAGAATCGGCGTGAATTGGAAGCAGCTTTACATTGGGATTGGCTGCAGTTGCCCCATCAGTACATCCGACATCTGACTGGAGGGACGAGGTGCAGGATGGAGACCGTCATCCGGCGCGGGCACGCGGAGGGTTCACTCGTTACTTAACCTTTGAACTACGGGTGTCATGTTGTGACTCAATGTGACATTTGGATCCAGAAATAGGCACATGAAATCGTTGTATGGGCTCTGCAGGTCAATACTTGAGGGTATCGTTATGGGGCCAAAACATCACCGGTGGTTGTGCTGTTAGTTCGTGTTATTAAAATCCAAGCTCATCTGACAATTGTCAGAGAATTGTTCCGCAGATCATATTCGCTTCATGAGTAACTTCCAGCAGTAACAGTAAACCACGGTTGTAACGAAGTTCGTTGTAAGCATATATATATACAACACATGTACAACAAATAGACGGGAGTAAAAAACAGTTCGTTATATCCGGCAGTTCGTTATAAGGGCGTCCCTTATAAACGTACTTTACCGTGTTTCATTAGTCATTAATATATTCTGGGGTGCCTAAGTCTGGGATGCAACGTTCAAGATACTATCCCGGCCATGCAGTTTACCAACCCTTCCCATTTAACACACAACGCATTCTTCTTACAACGGACAACTTTTATTTGTACCCTTGGTCACAATAACCTCAGACAAGGCAGCACACAGCGAATCTGTCCCCCGGGTCAATGTGGCATTCGCTGAATTCTGGACACTCCCGGGAATGTGGACCCCTCCCACAGAAATACTCTTCCCCCTTGACGTCCACCAGGGGGACTCCTGTGGGGCACTGAGCTGAAGATGGACAGAAACACAGCCTCGTGTAAGTTCAAACAAAGCACACATTGTCTTTATTAACGCATATAATAATGGTGTTCACGCCGCAGTCAGAAATATACCAGCAAAATATGCAACTGTGCTAAATATTCGAGTGTTAACTAAGTACAAGCTGCTAATAGTGTAAGCAGCCACCTTTATCGCCGGGGTACATGTCACTCCAAGCTTCACTACAGATATACCAACAGCTTCACTACAGACACACCATCAGCTTCACTACAGACACACCAACAGCTTGACTACAGACACACCAACAGCTTCACTACAGACACACCAACAGCTTCCCTACAGACACACTAACAGCGTGAATAGGGACACACCAACAGCTTCACTACAGACACAACAACAGCTTGACTACAGATACATCAACAGCTTCCCTACAGACACACCAACAGCTTCACTACAGACACACCAACAGCTTCACTACAGACACACCAACAACTTCACTACAGACACATCAACAGCGTGAATACAGACACACCAACAGCTTCACTACAGACACATCAACAGCGTGAATACAGACACACCAACAGCTTCACTACAGACACACTAACAGCTTCATTACAGACACACCATCAGCTTCACTACAGACACACCAACAGCTTCACTACAGACACACCAACAGCTTCACTACAGACACACCAACAGCTTCACTACAGACACATCAACAGCTTGACTACAGACACACCAACAGCTTCACTACAGACACACCAACAGCTTCACTACAGACACACCAACAGCTTCACTACAGACACACCAACAGCTTCACTACAGACACATCAACAGCTTGACTACAGACACACCAACAGCTTCACTACAGACACACCAACAGCTTCACATAAGAACAACTACATCTACAACAGCTTCACTACAGACACATCAACAGCGTGAATACAGACACACCAACAGCTTCACTACAGACACATCAACAGCGTGAATACAGACACACCAACAGCTTCACTACAGACACATCAACAGCGTGAATACAGACACACCAACAGCGTGAATACAGACACACCAACAGCGTGAATACAGACACACCAACAGCTTCACTACAGACACACCAACAGCGTGAATACAGACACACCAACAGCGTGAATACAGACACACCAACAGCTTCACTACAGACACACCAACAGCGTGAATACAGACACACCAACAGCGTGAATACAGACACACCAACAGCTTCACTACAGACACACCAACAGCGTGAATACAGACACACCAACAGCGTGAATACAGACACACCAACAGCTTCCCTACAGACACACCAACAGCGTGAATACAGACACACCAACAGCGTGAATACAGACACACCAACAGCTTCACTACAGACACATCAACAGCGTGAATACAGACACACCAACAGCTTCACTACAGACACACTAACAGCTTCACTACAGACACACCAACAGCTTCACTACAGACACATCAACAGCTTGACTACAGACACACCAACAGCTTCACTACAGACACACCAACAGCTTCACATAAGAACAACTACATCTACAACAGCTTCACTACAGACACATCAACAGCGTGAATACAGACACACCAACAGCTTCACTACAGACACATCAACAGCGTGAATACAGACACACCAACAGCTTCACTACAGACACATCAACAGCGTGAATACAGACACACCAACAGCGTGAATACAGACACACCAACAGCGTGAATACAGACACACCAACAGCTTCACTACAGACACACCAACAGCGTGAATACAGACACACCAACAGCGTGAATACAGACACACCAACAGCTTCACTACAGACACACCAACAGCGTGAATACAGACACACCAACAGCGTGAATACAGACACACCAACAGCTTCACTACAGACACACCAACAGCGTGAATACAGACACACCAACAGCGTGAATACAGACACACCAACAGCTTCCCTACAGACACACCAACAGCGTGAATACAGACACACCAACAGCGTGAATACAGACACACCAACAGCTTCACTACAGACACATCAACAGCGTGAATACAGACACACCAACAGCTTCACTACAGACACACTAACAGCTTCACTACAGACACACCAACAGCGTGAATACAGACACACCAACAGCTTCCCTACAGACACACCAACAGCGTGAATACAGACACACCAACAGCGTGAATACAGACACACCAACAGCTTCACTACAGACACATCAACAGCGTGAATACAGACACACCAACAGCTTCACTACAGACACATCAACAGCGTGAATACAGACACACCAACAGCGTGAATACAGACACACCAACAGCGTGAATACAGACACACCAACAGCTTCACTACAGACACACCAACAGCGTGAATACAGACACACCAACAGCGTGAATACAGACACACCAACAGCTTCACTACAGACACACCAACAGCGTGAATACAGACACACCAACAGCGTGAATACAGACACACCAACAGCTTCACTACAGACACACCAACAGCGTGAATACAGACACACCAACAGCGTGAATACAGACACACCAACAGCTTCCCTACAGACACACCAACAGCGTGAATACAGACACACCAACAGCGTGAATACAGACACACCAACAGCTTCACTACAGACACATCAACAGCGTGAATACAGACACACCAACAGCTTCACTACAGACACACTAACAGCTTCACTACAGACACACCAACAGCTTCACTACAGACACACCATCAGCTTCACTACAGACACACCAACAGCTTCACTACAGACACACCAACAGCTTCACTACAGACACACCAACAGCTTCACTACAGACACATCAACAGCTTGACTACAGACACACCAACAGCTTCACTACAGACACACCAACAGCTTCACTACAGACACACCAACAGCTTCACTACAGACACACCAACAGCTTCACTACAGACACATCAACAGCTTGACTACAGACACACCAACAGCTTCACTACAGACACACCAACAGCTTCACATAAGAACAACTACATCTACAACAGCTTCACTACAGACACATCAACAGCGTGAATACAGACACACCAACAGCTTCACTACAGACACATCAACAGCGTGAATACAGACACACCAACAGCTTCACTACAGACACATCAACAGCGTGAATACAGACACACCAACAGCGTGAATACAGACACACCAACAGCGTGAATACAGACACACCAACAGCTTCACTACAGACACACCAACAGCGTGAATACAGACACACCAACAGCGTGAATACAGACACACCAACAGCTTCACTACAGACACACCAACAGCGTGAATACAGACACACCAACAGCGTGAATACAGACACACCAACAGCTTCACTACAGACACACCAACAGCGTGAATACAGACACACCAACAGCGTGAATACAGACACACCAACAGCTTCCCTACAGACACACCAACAGCGTGAATACAGACACACCAACAGCGTGAATACAGACACACCAACAGCTTCACTACAGACACACCAACAGCGTGAATACAGACACACCAACAGCGTGAATACAGACACACCAACAGCTTCACTACAGACACACCAACAGCGTGAATACAGACACACCAACAGCGTGAATACAGACACACCAACAGCTTCACTACAGACACACCAACAGCTTCACTACAGACACACCAACAGCGTGAATACAGACATATGAACACCTTTAAAATGGACATGAGAACCTTCACAACAAATACACCAACAGCTTCACTACAGACACATCAACAGCTTCACTACAGACACACCAACAGCTTCACTACAGACACACCAACAGCGTGAATACAGACACACCAACAGCTTCACTACAGACACAGCAACAGCTTCACTACAGACACACCAACAGCTTGACTACAGATACATCAACAGCTTCCCTACAGACACACCAACAGCTTCACTACAGACACACCAACAGCGTGAATACAGACACATCAACAGCTTGACTACAGACACACCAACAGCTTCACTACAGACACACCAACAGCTTCACTACAGACACACCAACAGCTTCACTACAGACACACCAACAGCGTGAATACAGACATATGAACACCTTTAAAATGGACATGAGAACCTTCACAACAAATACACCAACAGCTTCACTACAGACACATCAACAGCTTCCCTACAGACACACTAACAGCTTCACTACAGACACACCAACAGCTTCACTACAGACACACCAACAGCTTCACTACAGACACACCAACAGCGTGAATACAGACATATGAACACCTTTAAAATGGACATGAGAACCTTCACAACAAATACACCAACAGCTTCGCTACAGACACACCAACAGCTTCACTACAGACACACCAACAACTTCACTACAGACACACCAACAGCTTCGCTACAGACACACCAACAGCTTCACTACAGACACACCAACAGCTTCACTACAGACACATCAACAGCTTCACATAAGAACAACTTCACATCAGACACACCAACAGCTTCACTACAGACACACCAACAGCGTGAATACAGACACACCAACAGCTTCACTACAGACACACTAACAGCTTCACTACAGACACACCAACAGCGTGAATACAGACATATGAACACCTTTAAAATGGACATGAGAACCTTCACAACAAATACACCAACAGCTTCGCTACAGACACACCAACAGCTTCACTACAGACACACCAACAGCTTCACTACAGACACATCAACAGCTTCACATAAGAACAACTTCACATCAGACACACCAACAGCTTCACTACAGACACACCAACAGCGTGAATACAGACACACCAACAGCTTCACTACAGACACACCAACAGCTTCACTACAGACACACCAACAGCGTGAATACAGACATATGAACACCTTTAAAATGGACATGAGAACCTTCACAACAAATACACCAACAGCTTCGCTACAGACACACCAACAGCTTCACTACAGACACACCAACAGCTTCACTACAGACACACTAACAGCTTCCCTACAGACACATCAACAGCGTGAATAC